AGGCACCACCACTCCTGGCAAAAAATAAATGAATTACAAAAAAATAAATATGCACAATTCTGAAAAATATGATCTTCTTTTTTTTTTTTTTTTTTTTTTTTGCGAAACCAGGAATTAAACTCAGGCCCTTGCGCTTGGCAGGCAAGTGCTTCTTCCACTGAGCCATCTCCCCGGCCCTGAGATTCTTTAAAGGACATTTATTTACCTTTTCTTCCCCTGCACTCATAGGCCTTCATGCTGATCTGCTTTTCTTTTTCTTTTTTTTTTTTTTCAGTACTGGGGATTGAACTCAGGACCCTGCGCTTGCCAGGCAAGCGCTTATTCTACTGAACTATCTCCCTGGCCCCTTCATGCTGATCGACATCCCCAGCCTTTGTTTTTCTTTCTTTTCTTGAGACAGGGACTTGCTACATAGTTCAGGCTGGACTTGAAAACGCACTGTGTAGCCCAGGCTGGCCTCACATTCACTTCAGATCCTCTTGCCTCAGTCTTCTGAACGCTGGGATCCCAAGTTGTCACCATGCCCAGCTTCTCCACCCAATTTTTAATTTTTTATCTTGAGATAGGGCCTTGTTAAATCTCTAAGTTACACGAGGCTGGGCTTGAAATTTCTATCCTGCCTCAGCCTCCTTGTGTGCAGAGATTATAGGTGTATACCACCATAGCTGGTTCTTATTTATTTATTCACTGGGTTTTTCTAAAAGTATAACACTCAATTTATTATTTCTTTCTCAAGAGTTTTCTTCGGTCCATTAAGACCCAGCTCCCTTATGTGGCTTTGGTGGAGGCCGTGGGGGCGGCACCAGCAGGTCTAAATCAGGGTGGAGGAGTTCGGTCCTTGTGGGCTTCATGAGACTGATTTCTGACCACTTTGCTGTGAAGGGCACAATTCACACAGTAATGCAGCTTCACATACAGCTTGGGAAGCACACAACCGTCGAAGACACTTGCTTTGGAAATGTCCCTGATGGCGGCGGCCTCCACTACATTCCGAATGACAAACTTCTTAATGGCCTTACCCTTGGGTATGCACCAGGCGCAGTTCGTGCAGTGAATAGGCTGCACATGACCGTGGCCCTTTTTGGCACATCACTCTTCCTTCTTTTTTTTGTCATCTCGGAAAGGGGGACCTGAAAATTCACTAGGTTTTTGTTTTGTTCTTTTTTTTTTTTAAACAAAATTTAGCTCGTAGCTCAGGCTAGCCTTGAACTCACTTTGTAGCCAGGCTATCCTCAAACTCTCAGTGATCCTCCTGCCTCAGCTTCCTGAGTTTTGAAAATACAGGCATGTACCACCATTCCTGGCATTGTATTTATATTTTTAAAGGGAAATTATTTTTAAAAAAGAAGAAGAAAGACATTTCCTAGACCATTTTCTTCTTCTTCTTCTTCTTCTTCTTCTTCTTCTTCTTCTTCTTCTTCTTCTTCTTCTTCTTCT